CCAATCTTGTTTTTACAACATCTCCCAGCTCTTTGGATTTATTATTTATTTGGTTTTATTGCAGTGTTGTCTCTATGATCTTACAGGCTCCCTCTCTGTTCCCCAAGCCATATCTCTGCTGGTTACCAGTAACTGCTGAATGTGGGATGTTTAGAGAAGGTTTACCACTGGGGAGTAAAGTGTATTATCCTGGTGACATAAGGAATGAACTCCGTGTGTTGCCTGTTGCAGAATTATGCCTGAATCAAAATGCAGGGGAAAAGAATAACACATACGATGTATTTAAAGGGTCTATGGGAAAGTGGCAAACATAAACATTAACTGCAGAGGGCCCCAACGCCAAGAAAGCATTGATATCCCTTTGCAAGTGCAGCAGTTGCAACAGTCCTCGTTGCATGGTCATAACTAATAGAGAAAGAATACCATTTTAGGAAGACCAAACTTTTAGTATCTCTTTAAGGTGAACAAACATTAGAAGAGAGAATTTGTATGCTTTCCTGGAGCCTTCAAGGTTATTGCACCATTTTGAACTAAATAGCCAAACATTTAGAGGAACTTCCTCTTTTTTTCTGTGCTGCATTTACAGCTCATGTTTAATGATGTAGACCAGAGTTTCTCAACCAGGGTTCCGTGCAATACTAGGGTTCCTCCAGAGATTGCTAGGGGTTCCTTGAGCCATGATCAATTTCTGCCTCTTAGACAAGTTCCCACTGACACCATTGATCTTTTTAGCTATCTGTTAGGGGTTCATTCCCAATGACCACAAATGAAAGAAGCGTTCTTCCAAGCGACTAAATAACTAATGTATCCTGAGCTGTAGTCATAATAATTTTTTCAAGGGGTTCCTTTAGACTGGAAAGTTATTCCAAGGGTTCCTTGGACAGTTTCTCAACTAGCACATAAATGGAACTGTAACTAAATACACAAACACTGGGTAACTTTGTGGCTTGAAAGGCAGTTGGTAATAATAAAGATAACCTTAACATAGCTTGAATAGAATATGAATGGTATAAACATCTACCACACATCATCTACTAAACGTCATCTACTGTGCTACCACAGTACAGGCCATAATAACAGAAACCCCAAATTGACTACAGACCATGTCCTTTCAGATTTTAAGCTGGATGAAAAATATTTTGTTCAGGTTGGTGGAAAGTTCTAAAAGCTGACTTACGGAAACCTACTTACAGCATAGGGAACCTAGCTGCCACTGTCTCGAGCCTCAGCACCACCAATGATGTCTTAGTTGCCAAGGGGAGAAAATAGAAGCAATACTCTTTTTCCAACCTGTGGAATGCTACAAATTGTTGCTATTATTATTATACAGGATTTATTTAGCTCCAATAGTTTGTGCAGTGCTTTACAACATGGCAGACAGTATAGTTACAAAGCAATTCAATATAGGAAGAATCAGAGGGCTCTGCTCATTACAGCTTATAATCTAAAAGGGAGGGTCAAGGGATACAAAAGGCAATAACTTGTTAGGTGGAGGTGGGATATGCTTCTTGAAGACAAGGGTTTTCAGGGATTGCCTAACAGTGGACAGAGTATGAGATAGCCCGACAGATTGGGGTAGGGTGTTCAATAGGGTGGGGGGAGATGACAAGGGAGCTAGAGAGCTGGAGGTCTTGGGAGGAATTAAGAGAACAATTTGGTTGGTATTTTGGGACTAGATTAGTGATGTAGATGGGAGCTGAGCTGTGGATGGCTTTGTAAGTTATTATTAGTTGTATAACTTAATTTGTTGGGTGAGTGGCAGCCAATGAAGGGAATGGCAGAGAGGGGTAGCAGACACTGAACAATTGGTAAGGTGGACAGGTCTGGCAGCAGCATCCATGATGGACTGAAATAGGGATAGCCTATGTAAAGGTAATCCCATGAGGAGGGAGTCGCAGTAGTCGAGACAAGAGATCACCAGAGAATTACTTAGAAGCTTTGTTGTGTCATTTGTTAGAAAGGGGCATATTTTGTAGAAGTTGAGGAGGTGGAGGTAGCAAGCTTTGGATAGTGATTGCATGTGTGGCTGAAAATAGAGTTCAGAGTCCAAGATTACACCTAGCACCCTGGCATGGAGGATGGGTTGATGGTTGTGCCATTGATTTTCACAGAGAAGTCAGGAAAAGTGGCTTGTGAGGGAGGAAATATTATGAGCTTGCTTTTGGATATATTGAGTTTGAGAAAGTAGTGTGACATCCAGACTGATATGTTGGTCAATAAATTAGTTATGCTTGAGGAGACTGATGTTGTGAGCTGAGGGGTAGAGTAATAAATTTGGTTTTCATTGGTGTATAAATGATATTGAAAGCCACAGGAGGCTATGAACTGACACAGTGAAGAGGTGTAGATCAAGAATAGAAGAGGTCTAAGAAAAGAACCTTGGGAGACTTCGAGAGAGAAGGGAAGAGGAGAGGAATTGGAATCGTAAGTGACACTGAAGTTGCGGTGGGATAGGTAGTCATGGAGACCAAAGGAATAACGTTTTTTTGAGGAGAATGGGGGTCATCCATATCAAAGGCATCTGAAAGGTTCAGAGGTAGGAGTACAGAATAGTGTCCATTGGTTTTAGCTATTAGTAAATCATTTGTGAGTTTTAGGAGAGCAGTTTCTGTGGAGTGTTGAGGGCGAAATCCAGACTGAAGGGGACCAAGAAGGTCATTCATGAGGAGGTCACTCAGTTGGTTATAGACAAGGTGTTTAAGGAGTTTGTAGGAAAAGGGGAGCAAGGACATGGGGCATAGGCTGTTTAGATTGGTGCACTCCAAGGAAGGCTTTTTAAATATGGGGGTGACTAGTGCATGTTTTAGAGAGTTGGGGAAGATGCCAGAAGAGAGGGAGAGACTGAAGATGTGAGTTAGAGAGTATAGAACAGAGCTAAAGAGTGACCACAGTATTTGAGAGGGAACGGGTCCATGGAGCAGGTGGTTAGGTGGGCATTAGAAGAAGGTTTAGCAACCTCCTCTATTGTAATTTTTTTTTCTATTGGAATTATCCAAGCAAATAATAGATGATAGCAAGAGGCAAGAGAATGTACCCATCAGACACCAATAAAGTGTAACTGAACTCAAAAAGTGAAGACTTGCTATAATATTGGAACATTTAGAAATGTTAAGAATTAAGTATCTTAAAAAAGGTACCTTTTATTTAAAATTCCTCCTGATAATTAGCAGTGTACTTCCTAGTATGTGGTGGTAACGGTGTTGGATTAAACTCTGAGAAGGCCCTTAGCTAGTTGAAACCTTGGGTCCCCCTTGTGGGTTTCTTGTGCATATGCTCTAGTGGGATAACTTTTCGCTAAGTTGTGTGTCTGTCAGCAGAGTTAGGAGATGACCATTGCTGCTGTACATGGCACGTACATAGGTTCCACCATAATGTTTTACAAATTGACAGCTGAAAGAAGATGAGTTTTAAGAGACAAACTGTAATGTGAACCTGATGTCTGTGGTTTATGTACCTTAAAGTGTTAGTAAACCCACAACAGTAAAATCAGTCTATATATACAGTAAAATATGTTTGCTATACTCACTGCGGAACCGAAACGGGTTAATCCTCTGCATTGTGTAAAAAGGCTGTTTGATCCCTTCTTCTCTGCCCCTCCTCTTGTTGAAATGACCACCTGATACAAACTGAATCCGTAGTCACATGCACATGTTCAGTTTGGTGTGTATTGGTAGCGAGGTTTTTTTTTTCTTGGGAGAGTGCATGTGATCAGCACAATGCCAATCAGCACTGTCCAGACAGAGGTTCAGGGGCTTCACATCCTCCTAGAGCAGAAAGAAAACTCCTCCTACAAGCTTTAACTAGTGCTCAGCTGAAGTCACAAGACTGCTCTAATTGCTGATGTGAAAAGGTATTTAGCAGTTTTATATTTACTAAAATAATTGCATTACTATATTGTGTGTACTGTGGGAGCCAGATATAGTGAATGCAGGGTACTGGGTTTAGTATCACTTTAAGTTGGTATTGGGCACACATTACAATAATACAGTATTTTCTCTATAGAGTTTTTGATGTACAGTTTTCACTTCTTTGAATTGATTCCTTTCCTTTTCTTTCTTTCTTTTTGTAAACAATTTAAGAGAGCTTAATTGTTTTCTTTCAAGATCAAATAAATATATTTTTAATCAATTGTCATGGGGCCCTTAAATAGCGTGGGGCCCATAGGCCTGTACCTGCTCTGCCTATTAGGTAATTTGGCACTGAAGGGTGCCTGTGCCTACATCCTCATAGCAGAATATCTGCAGTGTGAACCTAAGGCACTGCTGCCTGTGACCACTAGTCTCAGGAGATTTGAAGTGACATATGCTGATGTCACTTCTCTGCTGCTCAGTGATGTTCTTGCTGGAAGGCATGCCTCTAACAAGATGGTCACCTCTACAAAGAGACACTGTACATGGTAAGTCAGTGACAGGGAAACATCAACTGCTGGGGATGGCAGGTCAAACTGGTGACAAGCCCTTTGCTCTCTACCTGCCTTATCTGAGCACAATTTTCTGAGTTTTAGGTTAAACTAGAGTAAAACAGAAACATGCTACCACCTTGTGCCCTACCCCATGCTTTTTCTCAATAATCAATGCAGATCCCCCATTAATTCACAAACCTCCCCACTCGTAGATATTTGTTAAAGCCCAGTGGAGTTTGACCTGGACCAGCACATGCTCTTTGATTTGCAGAGCCTGTGTGCACAAGACCTTTAGGGGAAAAGATAAAAGAAAAAAGATTGACTACATTACAGAATAAATTAGACTTAGTGTGTTGGCTGTATTACAGAGTTAATTTAAAATCAGTGAGAATGTTGCTGATTCTTCAAGCACCAAAGAATTTCCGGTGCCAAATATATATATATATATATATATATATATATATGTCAGCAAGAGGCATGTAAATTATCTTGGGATCCTTTTATCTTCCATTTGAGTGTGCTCTAACAAACTATGCATGATTAATGGGTCTTTCTTTGTCTGATTGTCAAATTATGTCAATCTCTTTGAATTCTGCAGCACATAATGATTGTTCAGCGTCAGTTGACTGTGCTAATAGAGGAGCTAGAAGAATTTCGCCTTTCTTTGAAACACTACGTAGATTCTGTTTCAGCTCAGTCAGGCTGTCTACAGTAAGTATGTGGTGTAACCCAAGCGCTTGTCTCTTGTTATATGATTCTTTGTATCACAGCCGGGACTGTATACCCCAGTGGTTAGCAGCTATGCTTCGTAGTATTGAGGTGTTAAATTTAAATACACAGGATCCTGTCTACAAATACCTAATATAAATACAAGGTATGTTCATTATCTGTTATGAGTCTGGATCTTTCAGGTCATTGGAAGGAAAACAATTTAGTTTGAGAAGTATTTTAAAGTGTCCCCAATTTCCCTTGGGGCTACACAACAGTATGATAGCTATACATGATAGGAAACCCATAGAAAAATTGTAAGACCCATCCAACTCTTAGGCTAGCCATACATGGATCAAAAGTCGATCGGTTCAGCTGGGACCTTCTGAATTTCCATCAATGTATGGGCAGGCTAATTGTACCCATGTTGATCCAATTTGGGTACAACCAACCTGTCAGATTTTTATACATGCAATCAATGCCAGTGGCTTAAGTCGCTAGCAGTAATCATCATGTTGTGTCAGCTGGGAAGACTCCCCACCATCCTACTCCTCCAGCAAAACAAACAGCTGGATGGGGGAAGCAAGTGATTTTCGAGCAAATCATCTATTGGCTGCCCTAAGCTTCCATTTGAAAAGCACTTCCACAACTGAACAGTTCCAATAAGGGAGAAATAAGCTTGTAATTAAGTTAAAGATTTTAAAATAATGGTCCTGCAGAAAAACAGGCACCATAATATGGCCAGGTTATACCTTTAGCTTTACATGTTGACCAGCCATAAGTACCACCAGAGCCCCATCAAAGTGCCTGTGCAAATAAAAACTCTTTGAAAGTTGGAATTTATGCATTCCACATGGTAGCACCCAACCTACACCACTCTGGCACAGATTAGCCAGAATGGGACACATGAAGTAGATAGCGTTTACACATAAATAATTTATCACATACTCAATAGCTGATGTCACTGAAAAAAATAAGTCTGTAAATTGTTTATTGTCTTCGTGTATCTATATATTAGAGCCCAATGGGAATTTCTACTAACATTGACATAAATTCACAGAAAGAATTGTATATTGGTTTCTGACACCAAAATTTCAGTGATGGTAATTCTCAGAGCAGGCTGTACGACTCTGAAAACAAGTAAAAAAACCCATAAATATACTCATGTGTGGTGACTGCTAACCTTGATCTAATCTCTCTAAATAATTCTTAATGCTTAATTTCCTACAAACATCTAATACTGAAACTTTCTGAACACATGTTGGGCTCTTGGTGATGTATTTCCCTTTACCAGTCTAAATTCTGCTGTACAGGGGACTGGAAAAGGCTTATGACAAGTTGAAATCAGGTACTTACCCTGATTGCAGTAATAAAAAAAAAAATGTTTGAAAGGTTAGTTCACATTAAACAAAAAGCACACTATGCTGTCCAGTTAGGTTATAGCAGCAGAGTGTGCTGAACCTTACTTCCAGCCAGGGCTCGCTTTCATTTCACAAGAATGTAGCCAAAACCGCAATAAAAAGAAGCCTTTTTAAAATCCTCTATAGCCTGTGATGGCTTCATCTCAAGTTATTGTAGGGACAGAGCAGCTGTTGGAACCAGTCCCCCTAGTGCCACAGGAGGGAGCATCATCTTGTACTTGGTACTTGAGTGTGGTACTCTCTCCTATCACAACCGTTGAGTTCACCAGGAGAGACAAGTGAGAACAGAGTGGTTCTCCAAATGTAGGGTAGTATGCACTGCTTCAGTAAAATCCGAAAGAACCACTTTTTATTCTAAGTGTAATGGCACACAAAATGCCACTCAAAAGGTGTTGTCACCAGAAGAGGAATAGAGGGGAAATCTTCCAATAGGGACACTATTTCTGGAGACCTGTGCACAGGAATAGGAAGTTATGGAAAATCTCCCCAAGGGAACACAGATGGCAAAAAAAAACAGGCAGGGGTTATAGTCTTCCTTTACTCAAAATTAAAAAAAAAATTTTGCCTTTTGGTTCTACCTTTAAAAAAACATTTTTAATAGCATTAAACCGTCCACCATCGCAAAAGTTCCCTCAGCTGCACTCTCTGCCTTGCATTCACCCCCCCACTCCATTTTGCATACTGTAAAATAAAGGAAAGGGACAAGCCTAACAGTGATTATATTTACCAACATCAACCTGAGCGTTCAATATCAGTTTTGGATAGACTAATTAGTGGCAACAATTTCAGTATAATGCTGGCCATAAACATATCAGTTTTTCATGCGCTCAACCATCCAATTCGACTGTTTCAGACATCTGATGAATTAGAACAATAATTTAATACATCATGTATCATATTCATATTCTGAGTACTTCACTTTGAAAATTAAAGTGATCATGCATAAAAAATTTAAAGTGACTTTCAGATCTGAAAAAGCCTCCATATACCAGAATTACGCTCAATTAATCTCTTTCTGTAGTGTGGGTTTTGAACAGTTATTGACTTGCAGGATACTTAGTAGTAGTTTTGTGTTATCAATTATGTTTTTTGTAGAAGTAATCATGAATATACATATATATATATATATATATATATATATATATATATATACCTTAGATTGTACGCCCCTTGAGGGTTAGGGACTGATGTGAATGTACAATATATATGTAAAGTGCTGCGTAAACGGACGGCGCTATATAGTACCTGAAATAAATTTTAAAAAATATATATATATGTGATATGTCTAGTGTATACTGAAACGTATGGCTTCATGTATATTAAGACATATGGTCTCATTATCCTGTGGGAAGTTGGGAACCTTTGACCTTTTCATTCTGTGGTGTGGTTCAAACCAGTTTTGACCAGTTTTTCTACAAAGAGTTAGTTGGGGTTTTGATTCATATTGAAGTATGGATCAAGGACTGTCGTTTCCAGAAACTTCAAAAGAAGAAGCAGCAAAACAATTCTGTATTTATCTATTTTTACCTCTTTAAACCAACCTAAGTAAATTCTTTTATTATTATACTTTCAAGTTTGTCTGAAATGATTGTACCATATCAGCATATCTGAAAGATTAAACATAGGAACTTTTAAGTAATAATGCTAACCCCTTATTACACTCCCAATCTTTCATTCAAACCCCACCAAAAAACAGAAGCGGTTGAAACAATGGCAAAAATTTCCAGCATTTAATCAGAATATTGAAAAAAATATTTAATTTAGCAATTGGCTCAATATGTGTGTGAGCAGCACGGGTGATCACTTTTTGTTTTCAGAGTAACATCTTTGTATTCTGTAACACAACTAGCTTCTAATCTTCAGCATTGCATTATCTTCTACAGTGTGTCCATTCAGAAACTTTCCAACGAGTCCAGATACATCATTTATGAGTTTTGGGAGAATAGTAATATATGGAAAAAGTAAGTAAAGATGTTAATTCTTTTTTTTGCTAACCATTGTGGTGCACTCAGGCTAGTGTATTCATGAGAACTTTACATTAAGGGACAAATGAACCCCAAATGACTATTTTTGATGACGTTTTGATTTTTGATGAGGGGGAATCATCCAGCAACAAGTTGGCCACTATTACAATGCAATTTATTTATTTAGCTATGGAAGTCAATTTGTAAATAATAATTTTCACTGCAGAGGTACCACCATAAATGTGAAAAAATAAAAAATTACATAGCCTCATATAATTTACCTCAATATTAAAGCTTATTCAAACCCAAAAAAACAAAAATGTAATATATTGAAGCTTACCAGTCCTTAGATGTTGTGGCTGCATTTCCTTTGTCAGGTTTTTTTTCCCTTTTATTTTTATCTGGTAATCCTGCAAATAACATGCTTCTTGATTATGATGTCTACACTCATTCACACCAACTACAGGTCTGCAGTAAATCTTCTAACAATTCTAGCATTGAATTTTACCTTCTCAATTTTTCTGTTCTGCCCCATGCCACAGATTGTTATTACCCCCTCAGCATTTGCCATATAGAACAGGGGTGCTTAACCTTTTAAGGAGCACAGGCCACTTAAAGGATAAGTTCACCTTTCATGACATGTTACATGTTGCACCCATATTCAGGGTGTAAAATATAACATATTATGAAAACACAGGCCCCGCTCTCCGCTGATCCCCTGCTTTGACAGGTAGCAGGGGGAATCTTCTCCCCCCTCCAGCAGTCAAATTTTTTAAAAATGTAACGGCGCAGGTTTTTGCCCTCCTGGCCGTGTCGTTCATTCCTCTGTGAATGAGAATCTATATGTCCTGACATCCTTAGCGGCTGTAAGCTTGAAGTTCTCAATGAACTACCTCAGCGCTGTGGAAAGTCATGGTAGTTCATTGAATTTTCCCATCAGTATATCTGCTTGCTCGTACATCCTGTACGGGCAAGCAGATATACTGACAGATCTGACCGCTGGTGCAATTCTTTATGGGCTCCTGCAGCAAAAAAAAAAATATTTATTATTTTTTACTGAAAGGTGAACTTATCCTTTAAATATGATTGGTAAACAGTTGCGGGCCAAAATGAAATGGTTCAAAATTGTAATTTTTTTATTTTAAATATTCTAATTCATATTATAAACAACAAATCAGAATCATCATTTTCCATAGGACAATGCCTGTTGGATGTTTAACCACTGTTTAATCACAATCACAAAAATCAAATTTTTTCATTAACCAGATCACCATTAATCCCACTCTTGTGCTCAGGTGTGACCAGCCAAAGTGTTACGCCTTCACTACGTAAATCAGGCTCTTTGAAGCCATCCCTTGAATTGCCAGAACTAGGACAGTTGACAATCTAAACAACACACAACAGACCAGGGAAGTGCATGCCCTAGTAGTGCAAGAAACCTTATTACGCAAAGATAAAAAGACACATAATGCACTCACATGCTCCCAGAAAGACACCAAGCTCATAAAAAAACTGTGAGAATCCACCTTCAGAACCCCGGTATGGATGCCACTAGATGTAATCCACTCAGCTAAAGTCTCCTTTCCCTGTGTCTGTGTGTTAGGAAGGTAAGTGAAGAGTGGAGAGCCAGCTGCAACAGCAACTTCTGTATGAAAGCCTTTGGGATTGCAGAGGACCAGCAATCATTCAGTAGAGCGGCATGCAACCGAAGGCCATGTGGGTTGCCATAGGTTTGATGTTGTGGGCCACATCAGATGGCTTCTTGGGCCATGGTTTGAGAATGCCTGAAAAAGAATAAAGGAAACCTTCTAAAGGGAAGTGAGACTACCTTGAAGTGACCACTGCATAGATTGGAAATCGCGTGCTGGGGGTCACTGATATAAAAGAGGTTGTTAGTTTATTCACCTTACCAATAACTGTTCTGCATGAATATATCAAGGTAGGTGGCAATATGCTACAGCAGCCTTTTTCAACCAGGGTGCCTTCAGGCTTCTTCCGGGGTGCCTTGGCAATATAAATAAAAATTTCCCAAAAATTGCATACAAGTCATCAGGTGGATCAAGCCTGCCTTTTAGTACACAAAGCCACAGGTTTTCATTGTGTACTTTTAAGACCTTCTAGCTGCCAGCATCCTAACTCCTAAGATGTCATCAGTTGATAAGGAGGATGTCTGGTACCTGCATAGCATCCTTTTTTGCCCCTCCGCTGCCCCTCTCCGTCAGGGCCTAAGGGTCACATAAGCAGAGTGAGGGAGAGTAATTGAGTGAGAAACATTGGAATTCGAGTCAGTACTAGTGGGTACATGTATATTTGCTTTGGAAGAATAAATCATCTCTAACGTTGGGTGTACTACGGGTTTCGATGATGCTGCATTCTGTAACCCTAGTAGAATAGTTTTTTACATTTTAGAATAGGGTGCCTCAAGATTGTCCATTATTTTAAAAGGTGCCTTGAATGAAAAAAGGTTGAGAAACACAGTGTACAGGAAAAAAACAAATTGATAGAATTATCAATATCAAACTGTTTATTAATCAATGTGATGTCACTTTCAGATTCTAAGTTATAGCCCATCCCTTAATACATACAACACAACCCATCCTCCCATCCCAATTCTGCCTCCATCACACAATTCGATACTTAGGACTTGAGTGACCAGACATAGTGGACTACAGGGTGTTTCTACGCAAATACTGACATAGGCTAGCCATTGACATAAGAGGTGGGCACAATACCGACAGTGATACAACACATTTTGTGGTTGACCTTTCCATAATCATGTACAGAAGAGGAAGCCCCCCCAATCCCTGGCTCAATGCCACAGTGCCTGAAACCTGAGTGACCGATAAACAGGCACAGTTACCTGCTGGTCTATGGAGCTTACTCAAAGCTATGCAAATTCTGACTTTAAGAAAACTCTGTATTTCCATCTTTAGGAGCTGCAAGATGCGCTGATTGATATTAGAACATGAAATATATTATGATGTCATGTGCTGTCATGTAGGCTTTTAGTTTATGGTTTTAGATTTTTTTCTACAAATTTACTATGAATAGTTAATTTTCATATATCAACTAATGAAATGTTTACACAGCCATCTCCAAGCTAATTACAGCAAGACATTTCAGCGGAGCAACGTTGATTTCCTGGAAACACCAGAGCTGATGACTACGATGCTCGTACCTGGTTTGTATAATTATCATCACTGCCTTCATGAACAGTATTATATGCTATTGCACAGACTATTGTGATGCCGCTCTGCAGAAATATATGGTTCATGTCTAAACAGCAACCACTGCTGTTAATTCACTTTATCATTTTTTATTATTCAAAGGCTAAAGTATACATGTTTAAATATATGTGAGCAATATTTTATTAGCTAAGTCAACAAAAGAGAGGTAAAGGCCCACTTCTAAACATCAGATGTTGGAATCTGCCAGAATAGCAACATGGGAGCTGTCACTTCTATCTACCATGTTGCTTTTTCAGGTACATACATACCCCAGGGCTGTCAAACATATCCTTCCTTCATTATTTAGGTCAGATTCAGACCTTTGTGGTTCGTTACAGAATTCAGGCTTAAGTGCATTGCAGTAATACAGCTCATTCATTACTATTATTATTATACATTTATAATTATACAGGATTTATATAGCTCCAACAGTTTGCTCAGCGCTTTACATTATGGTGGGAGACAATACAGTAACAATATAGTTCAATACAAGAGGGATTTGAGGGCCCTGCTCCTTGGAGCTTACAATCTAGGAGGGAGGGGGTAGTGGTACAAAAGGTAATAACTGTGGGGGATGCAGTGGTTGGAAGAGTAGAGGATTCCAGTATTAGCTGAGGGCGGGGTAGGCTTCCCTGAAGAGATGGGTTTTCAGAGTGCGCCTAAAAGTGAGCAGAGTAGGCGATAGTCTGATAGATTGGGGTAGGTAGTTCCAGAGGATGGGGGAAGCCCTGGAGAAGTCCTGGAGACAAGCATGGGAGGAGGGAGACAAGGGAGCTAGAGAGTAGGTCTTGTGAGGAGCAGAGAGTACGGTTTGGGTGATATTTAGAGACAAGATCGGTGATGTAATTTGGGGCAGTGTTATGAACAGCTTTATACGTCAGTGTAAGTGTGAATTTTATCCGTTGGGCAATTGGAAGCCAGTGGAGGGATTGGCAGAGAGAGGTGGCAGATACAGAACGGTTAGAAAGGTGGATGAGTCTGGCAGCAGCATTCATGATAGATTGAAGTGGGGATAGCCTGCGATGAGGTAGGCCAATGAGGAGGGAGTTACAGTAGTCGAGGCGTGATATAAATAAATTAAATTATAGATATTACTAAATACTAATTACACTAAAAGTTATTTTAGGGCATACAAACACAATAAATGACATAATGTTTTGGTGAAATATAAATGATGAGGTTGCACCAAGTCAATAGATACCTAACATGTCAAGGCTTAAATAGAGTGCGTCCATGAAATGGCAACAAAGGTCAGTACCATATATTTTCTATAGGCAATGGCTGTAAACCTTAAGGGTTGAGATGAATGGCAACTCTACAGTCACCATGTGTTGTGTTAATGCGCATGTTATCTTGGCACAAGGGTGTGGATCTGGCCTCTGTGTGCTAAGCATTTTAGACACACTGGGGTTGAATATTAAAGGCAAATAGGCTGTTCACTTTTCAAGGGAAGTTGCGCTTTGCAAAAGAATTTTCCTCGTAGCTTAATGAATGAGGTGAAGCTCTGCTGAGGTTCATCATACAATCACATGCAAGCAGAAATACATTTGTTTTTTTTTTTGTTTCTTAATTTTCCCTGCACATGATTGGGTATTCTTTGCAAAGTGAAACTTCACCTTATTCACTAAGCTCTTGGAAAAATTACCCTGGGAAAATCATTTTTGCTTTTTAGTTGCCTTTAGTTAATTACCCCATGTAATGTTTTTTAGGAACACTTCCAGTTTACTCAGATAACAAAATCCAGGTTGCCACAAAAAATGATGTGCACAGGACTTTATTCCAATGCAATATTTTGTGATTCAACCTTTCATGAGAACAATGGATTACCCCATGTCCGTACAATTGATAGATGGAAAAAAAATGACATGAGTACAAGCCCTAAAAAAAGATTGCTGAGCTGTCAGTTGGTTTTAATAACAGAAGATCTTGATAAGAGTTGAGCTTCATGGTGTAATTCACATGCATTACAAGCTTATACTTTAAATTAGAATTAGCCAATTTAATTAGTGCTTGCGGTGTTATCTCCTGCACGAGTGATTCACCTAGTCCTAGTGTACACTGGAATGTCTCTAATGAAGCCAAGGCTGCTTGTTTCCATAGACAGTCTGTAGTGCTGTGAACATATACTATAAAATTTGGCATTTTGATGAAATATGCATTTGCCAAATATATATACTTGCCTTGAATATATTTGAAAATGCTAATTAATTCATATGCAAGAAGATTTCCCCCCTAATTTCGCTCACTGTAAGATTTTCTATCCCTTTTATTATAGTGTACATTGGGGCAAAAAAAAAATTTCTTATGTATTTTATCCCCAATCACTTTGGAAGGATTTCCTCTCACTTTCTGTTTTGGCTATGGGAAAGGAGATTAAGGAAAATCATCCCAATGAGACATGGATTTAAAAAAAAAACTGACAGGAGTTAAAACCCTTCCTTTATTCTATCCAAAATAAAAAAAAGTTTAGCATTTAGTTCTAATTTAAAGCGTATGTACCAATCTTCTCTATGTAAATGTATAGGCAGATCCATGTCCTTTTTCCACATAGCAATGTTCAGTTTTCGTATGGCATGTAGATCAGCCTGGGCATTGTCATATCAGGGGCAAGGGGGTCCCTATTGCTTATGCCGATACAGACTTTTAAAAAGTTGGGTTTCTAGGAATGCCATAGAATGAATGTCACAAGATTGGTGTGTCCCAGCACCGTATGGTGTCTACTTTTTTAATAAGAAATGAGTCTTAGCATATAAAATATAAGTCCTAGCATTTTATAATTTCTACTCTTTATTAAATGAGTCCTAGCAACTTATGGTGTCCACTATTTAAGAAATGTGTCTTAGCACCTTATTGTGTCTACAGTACTCTTTAGGAAATATATCCTAGCACCTTATGGTCTCTACTCTTTAAGACATGTGTCCTATCATCTTATTAGTAATAAATATGTCCTAGTACCGTATAGTGTCTACTCTTTAGGGAATGTTTCCTAGCACCTTATAGTATCTTAGGGCTCATGTACACTACAGCTGATAAACTGCCATTCAAGAGCTGTCCAGTGTTTTTTTCAGCAGCCCCTGAACTCTCCCTAATGTTTTCCTATGTGTCGATGTACACATAGTCGTTTACAGTCATTTTTTTGAACGCACCAAACCTGCGTTCAGGAGTAGATTTTAGCGGCATTTCAAATGCCAAATGCTTGTAAACACGAAATGTGTCCTAGCACTTTTTAGTGTCTAATCTTTAAGAAATGTGTCCTAGCACTTTTTAGTGTCTAATCTTTAGGAAATGTGTCCTAGCACTTTTTAGTGTCTAATCTTTAAGGAAATGTGTCCTAGCACTTTTTAGTGTCTAATCTTTAGGAAATGTGTCCTAGCACTTTTTAGTGTCCTAATCTTTTTAGCAAATGTGTCCTAGCACTTTTTAGTGTCTAATCTTTAGGAAAGGTGTCCTAGCACTTTTTAGTGTCCAATCTTTAAGAAATGTGTCCTAGCACCTTATGTGTCTACTCTTTAAGAAATGCCTAATTATATTGGTATTTTCCTCAGTACATACAATATAATGCCCTGCAGAAAGTGAACCTCATGTAAAATATCCATGCCATCAGTACATTCTGACATCAGAGCATGCTCTCTATGCAGTCTTAGCAATGTCAAACTAAATCCTCCATATCCTTGTGGTAAACCTTACTGACCTTGTACAATATTATTCCCCCTATTTCAGACATCAGTTTATTCAAAAGCAGGCAGCATTTTACTATTTGTCCTTCGCTTGTTATACCACAGACCAAGATACTGTATGTGTGTCCCTAACTACAGTATGTTATTCTTTGTATGTCCCCTTACAATCTACCCATCCCTTGGGATTTGTCCTTCAGTCAATTATCTGTTCATTAACTGGTGTCTTTGTCCATGAACATCTACTCATCTAAGTGGAGGTTGGGTGCATTAAACGTAGTATAAAATGTACTTGTGCAGTGTTGTGCATTCACATGGTCACATAAGTCCTTGGTCAGTCCAGTTATCCTTGTAGCTAAAACTAGGAAGAAAATTACCATTTATAATTGATTGTAGAATTTAATAGTCTATTAATTTCTTTTATTCTAACCTGAGTTCCTTGTTTTCCAGCTTCATGGTGGGTTCTCAATAACAACTGAACTTCCATTCACCTGCAGACGTGCTGATATTGTTTGACATAGCATATAAATGAAGAAAACCTAGCATAGGCTCTTTGGTGTATCTATGGGACTGTAACTGGACACAAGTATCATTTGTCCTTTTCATGACGCCTACATACAGTCATTTGTGTCAACTGAAGAAGCTGTCAGCTACGATAAACTGGCATTAACCGATCTTAAGCTGTTTATGGTGTTCAGACACCTTATTATTTATATGTTAGACTAAAATGCGTGCCAATAACCACTCAGTACTTTAACACCTTATCAAATACAAGGCTCAGTTCAGCAAGCTATACAAAATATTATTTATCGTCACAATTGTTATTTTCAACAACCAGAGCCAAAGCCCATACCTGCAAATGACTACTCTTATAGCACATAGCATGTGTTATAGGTTAATGAACTGAGTGCACTGTGTGTTATAATATTGTAAAGAAATGTACACAAGTCAGCTGATTCTGACCATTGTGGATGGCTGGCTGTTTATAAGTGTCCAATGATCTGAGCATTCATACAGACTGCAATGTTCTGTTCATTAAATCTGAACAGTGTTTTGTAATATCTATTGACTATATCCAAACAGTTGAAACACATATGTGTAGGATCATTGTGAGCACATCCAATGACAGCTGTTCTTATTTATTTTGTGCCTGTGACTGCTAATAAATGGATAACTATCACTCTTGAGTATAGATACTGTATACCCATACACAGACAAAAATGATTGTTTAATATTTGAAAGTGTTAGCTGTTTCAATATGTGAAGAGCGTACACCTTTTGGGTATTCAACACGTCACTCTCTGGCTGATACCTGGAAAGCCACAAAGTGGCTACTTCAGAATGG